CCCGTTCTCAGCCCCAAAATGCATTCAAAGCCTTAGTAGCATTTCTATATACTGAAAATGAACAATTTGAAAAATTAAGAAATTTCTTCCATTTAGAGTAATATGGCAATGCAGAGGTGACCAGGCCTGGCTGTATGTGTGTTTTTAAGATAAATTTCAAAGAAACACTCCTTTGTTGACATTTTAAAAAAATATTTATTGTGATTATATTTTCTATTAAAACAAAGACTTTGCAGGCAAGCCCTTGCTCATTTGCATGGTCTCTGCCTGGGTGCAGATGGTGCCTACAGCTCCAACCACGGTGATTAATCCAGACACACCACCGTCCCATTAACCATGCAGTGAGAAATGAGTTTAGCTGTTCTCTGGGGTTACAAGGAAAAAGGCATCCATTTCTGAACCACTCAGTTTCTTTTCATCCCAAGTCCAACACGCGTCCAGAGGCTGATTTATCTCAGAGCTCTAATACTTTTTGCCGGGTTTCAACTCCTTTCACTGTGTCAGCTAATCCCTTTCAAAGTTCTCAGTTAAAAGGGACTTAACAGGGCGGGCAGGGGGAGCCCCAACTTATTGACATTTACTCCATGGGTTTGACAAGAGAGTCGCCAGGGGACTTTTTCCCCTGCACGACTTGAAATCAAAACAAGTGGCCCCAGATGGCCAGCCAAATCAGGGGACTGTGGGGGCCTGGAGTCTTACAGGAAAAGCCAATGTGTTTCTTCATTGGCAGGTGTGGTCCTGGCCCCATGGATGCCTTCGTCCGTGTCCAGAGGTGGGGTTCATCTCCTGACTTCCCTCTCAGATGTCAGGAAGGGAAGTGCAAGGAAGCCATGTTGCCCACAGCTGCCACACACACACATACACACACACACACACTCCAGGGTAACCAACTGTTCTCCTGTGACATTCACAGGAAACCTGGATCATGCCCTTGTTTTGTTCCGCACCATTTTGCTGCAAATGTTTAACAGGCTGTGGGTGGCCCTGTCTTGTGTTAAGGCACCAAGAATATCAATGAGGTAATGAGCTGTAGGAGTGGAACCCTCCAGGGGCAGGACTCATCAATACTCCTCCTACCATGTCCCCTAAGGCCAGGTTAGCTGTGTTTAGTTACAGCTATGGTATTTTCATTCCCACAGATGGCTTTGCACACCCCCTGGGTCTACCCAGCCCATCTCCATTCTCCTCTTTCTTGTGTGTTTTTGGGTCACGCATGTCTGTGACCGTGGGGAGCTCACCATGTGGATCTGATTCAGTGGGTACACACAGTATGTCTGTCTACATTGTTTATGAACCAGTGACAATTCTGTTGGCTAGTGACTACCGAGGGTATGTTGGGAATATAAATATCAATCCTGAACGCAGGTAAATAATGTAGAGTAATAATATCCACTAAGCAAAAGAGTTCTTAGTTTCCTTTCTTCTAATGTTAATAATCTCCATAATCCGGCAAACCGTATAAGGACAGTTTCATGGTACATAGTAAGAGCTTTGGTCCTCTTTTGGATGATTCAGATAAGGACAGGTTACCTGACTTTCTTCCTCTAGAACCATCGGTCGTGACACTCATCGGGGAGCAGCTTGTCCTTGAGTTTCCAGCGATAGCAATACTCATGCTGGAACATTTTTCAAAAACAAAATAGAACAATAGATCTTCAAGGAAGACACTCTGTGTGTCTCACATCTGTTCTATTATTCTCTTCCAACACCAGTGCCCTATGCAACTCAAAGGGTCCTCCCCCCCACCCAGTCCAGACCCCCTCCTCACATAAGACATCCACATCATAAAGACAGTATACTTCCGGTGCTTGGAACAAGAGTGTCCTCCATAGGCTCATGTACTTGAATGCTTAGTCATCAGGGAAGGGCACTACTTGAGAAGGATTAGGAGGTGTGGCCTTGTTGAAGTAAGTTTGATCTTGTTGGTAGAGGTGTGGCCTTGTTGGAGCAGCTATGGTCTTGTTGGAAGAAGTTTGTCACTGGAAGTGGGCTTTGAGGTTTCGAAAGTCCAGTCTAGGCCCAGTGTCTCTCTCTTCCTGCTCCCTGCAGATCCAGATGTAGAACTCTCTGCTAATTCTCCAGCACCATGTCTGTCTGCGCTCTCCCATGCTTTCGTCATGATGAGAAGGAACTAAACCTCGAAACTGTAAGCCAGCCCCAGTTAAATGCTTTTCTTTCATAAGAGTTGCCATGGTTACAGTGTCTCTTCACAGCAATAGAACAGTGACTAAGACAACACTGAACCAAGAACCTGCTAGAGCATTCAACAATATGAGAGGAAGTATATGTTCTTCTTTAGGCTGCAGTAAGAGTGGTTCACATTAATCCATCACATATCTTTGAATGCTAGTTTTGAATTCAACTATTTTTTTTTAATTCATACTGCTAAATGACTGATTAAAAGAATAGAGTTGAAGAATAGAGAACTAGAGAATTGCTCAGGGGGTAAAGAGTTTCCCATGTAAGCCAAGACCTGAGTTTGAATCCTCAGGATCCATGTAAAAACTGAACACTGTGGTACACATCTGCAGTCCCAGTCCCGGGGGAGGAGAGACATAAATTCCCTGGTACTCTTCCGTCAGTGAGATCCAGATACAATGAGGGGCCATGGTTCAAACAATATGGTGAAAAGCAATAGGACAGCTGCCATCTACCTCTGACATCCACAAGCACACACACACATGCACTCACACTGCATACACACACAGATACACACACGTACTGGCACACTGACCCGCATACACACACATACGTGCACATGTACTCACGTGCACAAACACACATACACGTGCACTCACACATGGACCTGCATATACACAGACACACACACACACGCACGCACACACGCACACAGAGAACAGAGGAGGAACTTGTTTATTCACTCTTACTCCGTGCTTGTCACCAGGTGCACACATCCCTCTCTATTTCTCACTGTATTTCTATTCTTTTTTGCCTATCAAATCTCTATTCTCTGTTCCCTGCCATGCAAGACAGTTCCCTACAAAGAAGCCCATAGGCCCATTTGATCTCTATAGTTCCTCAGTTGAGACTTCTCTCGAAGGACGTCCGGCTGTGTCAAGTTGACAGTCAGGGTTAACTAGGACACTAACTCTCTGACTATGTTCAAAAACAAATGCTTGTGCTTCCCTTGCTCCAGATGAAAATGTTCACAGATGTTGACCAAATCCACCCACGTGGGAGAGAAAGAGAATCCATATCCTGGAGTGGGCAGCCTGTGGGGAGGAATGGCCTTTGTTCTTGAGTTTGCTGTGCAATCTTGAGCAAGTCATTTCGTCACCCCAACTAAGAGGGTCAGCACAGACACATCTGAGGTCCCTTCTGACTGGAATGTTTTCTGGTTCTCATGTGAATCAAAATCCTAAGGAGCTAAAATGTCAGTGAGCAATTCTTTCCGCACACGGGTACCCACTGAGACCACTCTCCAGATGTGGGGCCAGCCCCAGTACTCTCAGTTCCTTTCAGCTCTCTTCTCTCTCACAACCCCTGCCCAGCCTCCTCCTGCTGCCACACAGAAACCCCCAGTCCCCCCGCCAAGTGTATGAATTCCTAGACTGCTAGAAATAATAACATACCCCCTTTTATTCCCTCTCTACTTTACTAAAAACAGTGCCTCATTTCCCTGTGTTTTGTAACAAATGTTTCCTGTATGGTTTGTTGGACAATTAACAATGTTAATATTTGCTTCATATTTTAGACTGTAAAGTGTTCTTACATATGTCCTCTTATTCTCACAGAAACCTCTGGAATCATTTATTAATATATCTACTTGAAAAGCAAAAGAACTGTGGTGGTGGTGGGTGACAGCCACTAAAACCTCAGATTATACTGGAAACTTGAACTCAAAGCTCTGGACCTGAGGTTCTCTTCCACTATGATACACAGACTTCCGGCTGCATCTTTCCATCAGTGACCACTGACTATGGTTGACTGAGAGTTTTAAATGGGCTGTCCCAGCTTTAGGTCATAGCTGGCTCCACATCTAGGGAAACCGAATCAGGGATGTTGTCTAACGCATGCTTGGTAGAGCTTTTAGCACACCTCCAAGTCCCTGTCCATCTTGTGCTTACACCCAGACTCCATCTTGACAACAGAGATGAGGACAGTTCCTTGGACCCCAGCCAAGGGTCTTGGAAATAGAAATATACTTATTCTTTTGAAGGGATAAAGATTTTTTTCATTGGCTTACTTCATTCCCTTGGCCAAAAGTCTAGCACATTCTGCAGCCTCATCATTTTTCTTGGTGTGTTGTTTCTTCAGAGCAATGTGTGGCGTTTGTGTTGCAATACAGGCAGAGTAACAAGATGGGTGCTTTAGTCCTGAACTTCTGTCTTCTTTGTTTACGGATAGACAGCATCTTCTTTAGAGAGACTTGAGAAGCTTCCAGATTTCTCTAGTTCTTTTGGGCCCTAAAGAGTACAGAGTACCTGTCAGTCTAGAAACATCCTTTTTTTTTTTTTTTTTTTTTTTTGGTTTGGTTTTTGTTTCTTTTTCAAGACAGGGCTTCTTTGTGTAGCTTTGGAGCCTGTTCTGGAACTAGTTCTTATAGACCAAGCAGGCCTCAAACTCATAGAAATCCACCAGCTTCTGCCTCCTGAGTGCTGGAGTTAAAGACGTACACTACCACCACCCAGCCCTTTTCTCTTCTTTTCTTTTCTTTAAATAATCAAATTAGAACACTCAGATTGACACCCACAATACATCCTGAACAAACTTGCCCTTCCTCTCTCCAGTTCCCCTTGGTCTATAAAAGAATACCCCTCATGCAATAGCAGGCCCACTCTGCAGTGGACCAAGACACTTTGCTTCACATAGAAATGTGTATGTTGTTCCCATCACTGATTCGAACCACATAACTCTTCCGTTCTTCATCCAGAGCATCAGCAGCTACTTCTGTGGTCGTGCACATCTGATAAAGCGCCAAGTTTGGGTTCATCCTTCACTTCACTGCGTTTCAGACAGCCGTGGCCAGTAAGGAGATGCTCAGTTTCATCTTGACACAGCCAAAAAGGAACAAGCAGGTGGCTGTCCTCACCGAGCCTGTGCTGCTTCTGCACATCCAGACAAAGGGGCGCAGGTACTTCCTGTGGACAATTTGTGGACTATTAAGAGAGCACTGCCCATGGTGTTCTCATCTTTCAGCTAGCAAGAGGAAGAACTCCTAACTGTCAGCCGTCGCGGGAGAGATGCTCTGTGCACAGCAAGAAGAACGCTAGGCTATCTCTCATTCTCAGATGGACGCATCCAGGACCCCATGGTGAGTAAGCGCCAGTTTGAATCACCTACCAGACCCAGAAATGCCAGGATCCGTTCACAAGAGTTCAAATCCAGGAAGACGTCTCCCATCATTTCTTCCTTCTTGACTTTGCCTTTCCTATCTTGAGGGCACGGGGGGGGGGGGGCAGGGGGGGAGCAGATGCACAGAGGAGCAGAAGCTATGGTTATCTGTTTATTAAAGGAGAAGGCTGAATCCAAGGAATAAAAAAGGCTTCAGGAAGCTAACTCCAAGTACCTCACATGGAGCCCACTTGAACAAGAGGAGAGGAAAATATTTAATTGAAATGATTCCAGAGTCCTTTACTAACCCATTTATTTTGCTGAAACATGAGTTGAGGAAAGACACTGTGTGTGTGTGTGTGTGTGTGTGTCTGTGTGTCTGTGTGTCTGTGTGTATGTGTGTCTGTGTATGTGTGTGTGTGTAAGATACAGAGAGATTAACTAAATGATTACGAATATAGCACGCAGCTGTTTAAATCATGCTGGCTGACTAATTGCTCCCTATACACTCACATCTCAATATGTATATTCCTGTCCCAGAACCTTTACTCATTCTCTACTACCTGCCCAGAGGGCCCCATGTGTCTTGTAAGCAACTTAAAGATAACCTCCTCCCAAGGCCCAGCTAAAGCCTTTAGTGATGGTGGCCAGGGATGGCTTTTTCTTCAAGTTGTCCTTTAAAATGACATTCAGGAGCAGGGCCCAATTCCAGGAGCCAGAAGACTATGTGTGTTAAATGTGTTTTAAAATGGAAATAGTTTTCTAGCTTCCAGTTACCTAACAGAATAAAAAAAAACAAAATGTGTTTTATACAAACTCGGGGACAAGCTATTTACTCAATTCCTTCCGAACTTCACCTAAAGTTTTGAATAGAAAGTTTCAACATTTAAAAGGACAAAGAGAAAAAAAGAGACAAGAGAGGAAAGATATTCACAGAGTTTTGGAAGATGGAAAAAGTCGAGGAAGACTTGGCACAGTAAAGAAAGAAATACTAAGCTGTTGAGTCACAGAGTTCAGAAAGGAATAAACCTGTGGCTTGTGGAGTTGGTAATCATAATACATTGAGTAGATTCCTCTAAGTAATAGTCGTGCATAAATAATTACATAAATGCAAGTTTAATCAAACAGAATCAGAAGTGAAGAGACAGTTTCTGTGTGGAGAAGATGAGATATAGCCTTATCTTGCTTAGCAGGAAGCCAGACAGGATCTCAAAATCCAGAACCTAAGAAAGACAGTACAAAGGAGAAATCTCTGAAGAACTTTCAAATTATGTGCAATCATGACTTCAAACATATATAATGTATAGATTCATACACATACTATGTAAAGACAAGACATGCAGGCAAAAAATAGTGATAAATAAAACAGAATATAGAACAATTCTTTTATAGATAAATGGGTACAATGGTGAATGGTTGATAAAGATATATGGGTGATGATAGATAGATAGATAGATAGATAGATAGATAGATAGATAG